TGAATGCATGAGATGGATGACTAAGTGTGACCAGCCCCGCCCCTCTCCTGTGTGAATGAATGAATGAACCGGTGAATGAATGCATGAGATGGATGGTTGAGGTGTGGCTGGCTCTGCCCCTCTCCTGTGTGAATGAATGAATGGGTGAACCAGTGAGCCAGGAGGCAGCACCCCCCCTCATGCCGGCGGCCTCTCCCAGTGGGCGTCAACGACGTGTGGAAGGACGCCTTCTATGTGACCAGGGCTGCAGAGCCGCGCCCCGACGGCCGCCCGCGGGCCCTGGCGGTCAGCAAGCTGAGCCTGCGCTGGGCGCTCATGGAGGGCAGAGTGCTGCCGCTGCGCGACACCGCCCCCGGCACCGGCCGCGGGCAGCTGCGGAGGTTCCTGTCCCGCATCAAGTTTGTGGATTCGCCCCCGCAGGTGAGCCGCTCCCGAGAGGACGTGCCGCGGCCCATCTGAGATGTGGGGTTCTTGTGGTCCGCATTTATGGGCTCAGGCCCCTGTGGTCAGCTCAGGCCATGCCTGTGAGCTCCAGGCCCAGACCCAGGCTCAGGCCCGGCTCAAGCCCAGGCCCAGACCCAGACCTAGGCCCAGGCTCAGGCTCAGGCCCAGGCCCAGGCCCAGGCTCAGGCTCAGGCTCAGGCCCAGACCCAGACCCAGACCCAGGCTTAGGCTCAGGCCCAGGCCCAGGCCCAGACCCAGGCCCAGACCCAGGCTCAGGCCCAACTCAGGCCCAGGCCCAGACCCAGACCCAGACCCAGGCCCAGGCTCAGGCCCAGGCCCAGGCTCAGGCCCAGACCCAGGCCCAGACCCAGACCCAGACCCAGGCCCAGACCCAGACCCAGACCTAGGCCCAGGCTCAGACCCATACCCAAGCTCAGACCCAGACCCAGACCTAGGCTCAGGCTCAGACCCAGACCCAGACCCAGGCTCAGGCTCAGGCCCAGACCCAGACCCAGACCCAGGCTCAGGCTTAGACCCAGGCTCAGGCTTAGGCCCAGACCCAGGCCCAGGCCCAGGCCCAGACCCAGACCCAGACCCAGACCCAGACCCAGACCCAGGCCCAGGCCCAGACCCAGACCCAGGCCCAGGCCCAGGCCCAGACCCAGACCCAGGCTCAGGCTCAGGCTCAGGCCCAGACCCAGGCCCAGACCCAGACCCAGACCCAGACCCAGGCCCAGGCCCAGACCCAGACCTAGGCCCAGGCCCAGACCCAGACCCAGACCTAGGCCCAGGCTTAGACCCATACCCAAGCTCAGACCCAGACCCAGACCTAGGCTCAGGCCCAGACCCAGACCCAGACCCAGACCCAGACCCAGGCTCAGGCTCAGGCCCAGACCTAGACCCAGACCCAGACCCAGGCTCAGGCTTAGGCCTAGGCCCAGACCCAGACCCAGACCCAGGCTCAGGCCCAGGCCCAGGCTCAGGCCCAGGCCCAGGCCCAGACCTACTCCCAGGCTCAGGCCCAAACCCAGGCCCAGACCCAGACCCAGACCCAGACCCAGGCCCAGGCCCAGGCCCAGGCCCAGGCCCAGATCCAGACCTAGGCCCAGGCTCAGGCCCAGACACAGGCTCAGGACCAGACGCAGGCTCAGGACCAGGCTCAGGCCCAGACCCAGGCCTAGATTCAGGCTCAGGCCACGCCTGTGGGCTGCATGCTCAGGATCAGGCCCAGGCTCAGGCTCAGGCTAGGCCATGGGCTCCACTCTTAGGCCTCACTGCAGCAGGCACTGAGCCCTGGGCCCCGGGGTGACCGGGGCTCGTGGCTGAGTGGAGGCCCTGCTGGTGTTTTTTGGGTGGGGTCAGTGACACGGTGTGTGCCCATCCTGGGGCTCAAACTCAGGGCCTGGCCGCTGTCCCTGAGTTTTTTTGTCCAAGGCTAGCGCTCTACCACTTGAGCCACAGCGCCACTTCCAGCTTTTTCCGTTTTGCTTATGTGGTACTGAGGAATCAAACTCAGGGCCTCAGGCATGCAAGGCAAGCGCTCTACCACTGAGCCACCTGCCCAGCCCTTCCATGGACTTTTCAGGCCAGGCTGGCTTTGAACCAAGATCCTCACATCTCAGCCTCCCATGTAGCTGGGATGGCAGGCGTGAGCACCGATGCCCAGCTCTAGCACAGTCCCTGCGCCGCATGGGCCTTGGTGGGGGGGGGAGCTGCCCCTGCTCCCTGGGATGGAATGGAAGGACAGGAGACGGATGGCACTGGCTTGGGGTATCCTCTGTGACTCTGGGGTTCTCTCCGTGGGGGTGGGAAGGAGGTCACACGCTTGTGCTTTTCCTGCAGGTCTAGCCAGATGGGCTGCAGTGGAGAGCCGAGTGGGTGGCCCCCGCTGTCATGAGCACTGCTCTGGGAGCCGGGGCCTGTTTATCGCCCGGTCGGTGCACTCCAGCCCTGACCGGCTCCTTCCCGCGCGAGCCCCCAGGAACTTTGTGGACAGACTTGAGAAATGTGAATCTTACGGGGTTTTATTTTATTTTCGATGTCTAATTTATAAGCTCTCCTGGGGATTTGGGGGGGGGGGGGCTGGGACTCTGGGTGCCTGCTCTGTGTGGTGCACGGATCCGCAGGTGTGGCGGGGCGCCCTGCTCTGGGGACCACTTTAGAATTACCTCCGGCGTAGTCATCCAGCAGCTTCTAGAAGCTTCCGGTGGCCAGCCTCCCACTCTGAGGGTCGCCACCGGTCGCCACCCCGTGTCCTTTCTCCACCCGCAGTGTGGGGACAGTATGGGGGGGCCACGCAGACCCCCCGGCTTTCCATCTGTCCAGCATCCTGCCTGTGGCCCTGCTCCCCGTGACTGGCTCTGCCCGGCCCGGGGGCCTGAGGGCACGCCTGCCCCACGCGTGCACAGCCCAGGCCCCCAGCACCCCGGCATGCCGTCCTTGTGAGCTCATTGGAAGGTGGGGCTCCCCCTCCACCCCCCAGCCTGGGGCCTGGTCCTGCTGCGCCCGTCCTCTGCCTCTCTGGTCCCCTCCCTTCCCCTCCCCTCCCCTTGTCTTCTATTCAGGGATATGTTTCTAGTTGTTTCCTTCCACCACTTGAGTCCTGTGTGCAATCATTTTTGCTCTGTACTTCTTTCTCACAGGGCCTTTGTGCTCTGAGAAAGCTCTTGTGTACATTTTTATCTGTGTGTTGTTTTGTGTGTGTATTGGTCCTGGGGCTTGAACTCAGGGTCTGGGCGCTGTCCCTTTTTACTCAAGGCTAGCGCTCTACCACTTGAGCCACAGCACCACTGCTGGCTTTTTAGTGACTAATTGGAGCTAAGCATCTCGAGGGCTTTCCTACCCGTGCTGACTTGGAACCTTGATCCTCCGCGCTCAGCCTCCTGAGTAGCTGGGATGACAGGTGTGAGGCACGGCGCCCGGCCCAACGCTAACGATGAATCTTTCTGGAATGATCTCTAGATGTTTCCTCTGTTAAGCTCAAGTCCCCCAAAGTTCTAGGCCGTGGTGTGTGGGGTAGAAAATCCCGTGATGGCCGATGGGAAACGCTTGTGAGATCTGGACACTGCGGGCCTCGATCCCTCTTAGCTTAGGGACTTCAGGAAATCCAATCTATTCTATTAATCCAGAAAATCCGAATCTATTAATTGTCCTCCCTCCCCCGGCAGGTGACAGTGGCAGCCATTCTCCATGCAGGGGTGAGGCCTGGCCCGCACATTGTCCACCCCTCAGGCCCATCTTTCCGGGCAGGGGTGAGGCCCCGCCCCTCAGGCCTGTCTCTCCGGGCAGAGGCTGGCACCTTGTCCCCAAGACGGCTTTCAACCCTGTAGACATCACGTGTGGAAGTCAGAGCCCCCCTCTCCCCCGCCAGAGAGCAGAGAAGATTCCAGACCCACTCCTAGGGGTCTGAGTGAACTTGTTTGTGCCTTTGGCTTGGATGCTGTCTAGTGTAGACTTCTCAGGACTAATCTGTGGAGGACCAAACCCCCCAAAGCGGTGGCCCCCCGTGGTGATGGGCGTCCCAGGGAGCCGGCCGTGCGGTTCCGGAAGCCCGTGTGTCCACGCAGCGTGAATCTCAGTGGCAGCTTGAAGTGCACTGTCGTGAATTCTGTTAGGACGTTCTTCCCCCTACTGGAGGTTTAAATCTGTCCAGACCACAAAAGTCATCTCTAGCTACTTTTTTTTTTTTTTTGCCAGTCCTGGGGCTTGAACTCAGGGCCTGGGCGCTGTCCCTGAGCTGCTTTTGCTCAAGGCTGGTGCTCTACCACTTGAGCCACAGCGCCACTTCCAGCTTTTTCTGTGTGTGTGGTACTGAGGAATCGAACCTGGGGCTTCATGCATGCTAGGCGAGCACTCCACCGCTGAGCCCTGCCCAGCCCTCTAGCTCCTGAAAGCCAGTGCAGAACACGTCAGCCACGGCTGGAGCTTGGACACACCGTCCTTTCTGAGTGCAAGGAAGTTAGTTCTGCCTGCAGTCCCAGCTCCGGGCTGCCAGCGAAGAACCACTGCTTACAAACAAGGCCTCCTCCCGGTCTCTCCCTCCCCTCACCCCCACCCCCAGCCACCCCTCCCCAATGTGAATGGCCCTCCCCCCCCCATGGGAGTGAGCTCTCAACTGTGAACTGGAACCACAAAAATAAATGCTTCGAGCTGCACGTGCGGGGCCGTGCTGGTCTTCCTGAGCGTCGGGGGTGTCGGGGGCCTGGCCCCGTGGGCAGCGCCTGGCCGCCTTCCCCAGGTCCCTCTGGGGTGGGGGGGTCTGCCACGTTCTTGGGTCTGCCACAGAGCAATTGGTTCATTTGTTGGGGTCACCTCTGTTCTCCCCATTTCTCAAGGCATCACTGGGTTCTTTGTTTTTGTTTCTGTCGGTCCTGGGGCTTGAACTCAGGGCCTGGGCACCGTCCCTGAGCTCTTTCACTCAAGGCTGGCGCTCTACCACTTGAGTCACAGCTCCACTTCCGGTTTCCTGGAAGTTAAGAGTGTTCCCAGACTTTCCTGCCTGGGCTGGCCTTGAGCCAGGATCCTCAGATCTCAGCCTCCTGAGAAGCTGGGATGACAGGCGTGAGCATCAGTGCCTGGCCATCACTGGGTTTCTGAGACTCTTAGAAGGAGGAGGGGACATTGATCGGGGTTTTGTGGGGGTGACTAGGATGTGAACTCAGGACTTGGGGGGCTTGCCAGGCAGGCGCCTACCCCCCCGAGCCCCGCCCCCAACAGCCCTGGGGGGGGGACGGAGCTGGACGGCCCCCCCCCCGGCCTTGCGGTGGTTACGACTCAAACAAATCACGCGTGCAAGACCAGCTTCGGCTTAAGCAGATGTTGGTAACGATCCAGCCTGTTCCCCACGCCCCGGAACCCTAGCACTGCTCCTCCTCCACAGAGGCCCCCGTGGGGCCCCCCGGGCCCCGGCCGCCGGCTTGCTGGGCGGCCACGAGGAAATCCACGCCGGCGGACACGGAGCGCACGGGCGGCTCGTGGCACAGGGGGCAGCCGCGCGGGGGCCCCTCGGGCGGCGGCGCGCAGGGAGGCTGCGGGGGAAGGCAGGGGCGCGGCGCGGCGTGGAAGCCCCCGTGGAGCCCACCCGCGAACCCCAGCGCCGTCCTGGTGTAGGTGTTGAAGGTGGTCACGGCCGACGCCATGCAGCAGGTAAACGAGAGCCAGGCTGTGCTAGGGGCGCGAGCAGATGGGCGAGCGTGAGCACCCCGCTTCCTCCACAGACCAAGGTCTGGGTGTGGGGGGGCTGCCCAGGTGGGGGGCGGGATGGGGTGGGGAGTTGGCCCAGGGGGCCGGGACGGCAGGCACTCACTAGAAAGCCCAGCCGTAAGTCCAAGCGTGGGGTCTCCAGTCCTCCGGACCTAGGTTGGCGGTTGCCTGGAAGACTTGCGAATACATCATGTGGGCCACCATGCCCAGAAGGCCTGCAGTCAGGGGGTACGGGGGACAAGGAAAAGGGGGGAATGGGGGGACGAGCCTGAGAGACTGCTATCTGGAAGCTACCTGCCTTCATCCTGCATGAAACTGGGCCTTGCATCCATCACCCTCCTCTTCCCCATCTCCCAGGGCCGGGGGGCAATCTAAAAGGGGGGGCGTCTCCTTGCTGGCCACGGTGACCCCCCCTCCCCGCCCGCCCTGGGCCCCTCACCCGACAGGACAGAGCAGACGGCGGCGAAGGCGCTGAGCTGCAGCCCGCAGCCCGTGCGGCGCGCCAGCAGCAGGTGGCTCAGGATCAGGACCACGCTGAGGAGCTCAAGGCCGAGGTGGGCGGCCTGGGACCCCAGGGCGAGACAGAGGATGGCTGCGGGGGGGGACACAGGGGACACGGCGCCCACGGTCATGCACCACGGACGCCGCAGAGGAGAGGCCGCCGCCACCACCGGGGAACGGCTTGCCTTTGCCCATGGCCGTGTGCAAACCAAGGGCCGTGTGCAAAACCTGGTGTTCACGGTTCACCTCCCCCCCCCCGGGGGGGCTTTGCTCCCCCCACCTTTCCTCCTTTGTGCCCATGCTAGGGCTTGAACTCAGGGCCTGGGCGCCATCCCCGAGCTCTTTCACTCAAGGCTGGCGCTCTACCACCTGAGCCACAGCTCCATTTCTGGTTTTCTGGTGGTTCACTGGAGATCAGAGTCTCATGGACTTTCCTGCCCAGGGCTGGCTTTGACCCGAGATCCTCAGATCTCAGCCTCCTGAGTAGCTGGGATGATAGGCGTGAGCCACCGGCTCCCCCTTGGTTTGGTTTCATTTCTCTTTTCTTTCCACCTCCCCCCCTTCATTGCTTTCCTTTTTATTTTTATTAATTTTTGTCAGTCGTGGGGCTTGAACTCGGGGCCTGAGCGCTGTCCCTGAGCTCTTAGCTCAAGTCTGGCGCTCTACCACCTGAGCCACAGCGCCACTTCTGGTTTTCTGAGTGGTTTATTGGAGATCAGAGTCTCATGGACTTTCCTGCCCGGGCTGGCTTCGAACTGTGATCCTCAGCTCTCAGCCTCCTGAGCAGCTGGGATGACAGGTGGGAGCCCAGCTTCCTTTTCATTTTTTTATTTGACAAAAGGAAAGCAATCGGCAGTATGTGGTGTGTGGGGTGGGGTGTGGGGGGAGATTCTAGGCTTTTCCAAGGTGGCCCATTGGAGCTGGGGGTGGACGTTGCACCTGTAACCCTCCCTTCTCCCTGGTCCCCCCCCCACTTCTGGTTTGCATCCCCGACTTGGGCTGCAAGTCAGCTCTAGGAAGCACTTCCCTCACCCCGAGGGAAGGAAGAGAGGAGAGGTGACCGGGCCGCCTAGATTTGGAGAAGCCCACGTCACGGGTGGGCAGGCCGGGGGAGGGGAAGGGTGGTGGGA